CCAGGAGAGGAGAGAGATAGAGGAAGGAGCAGAGTATATCAGGAGAGGAGAGGTATAGAGGAAGGAGCAGAGTCCTCCAGCAGAGCAGAGTATTTCAGGAGAGGAGAGTCATAGAGGAAGGAGCAGAGTCCTCCAGGGGAGTATTATGAGAAGGCCGGAACGTTTGTTGTGATCACAGTGAGATGTTGCTCATCAAGTCTCTGAACTTCCTCATCTGACTCTGAACAGGAAGTCTGGGTGTCGTAGGACTGTGTCTTTCCATCATTGTGATATGTGACCTGTCTATGTAATGATTTCCTGGGATGGATCTGGAGTAGTCTCTGCTGCTGTCAAGATCCTCTCTGTGATTGCGCCTCGTTGTGTAGTGTTACATGTAACCTGCTCTAATGAAATGCACATGTAGGGGGATGGGAGCACATAATATTTACCATCCCTGCACCCACCTCCATGGTGGAAACTTTGGCGTCTCTGCTTTATATCTGAACTTCCCAGAAAGAGATTGTGAAATAACAGCCATGTCCGTGGGATAAATATCTCTGCACACCGATCAGCCATAACATTATGACCACCCCCTAATATTGAGAAGTTCCCCCTTCTCCTGACCCGTCCAGGCATGGACCCCACTAGTCCGTCAGCAGAGCAGAGTATCTCAGGAGAGTTACAGAGGAAGGAGTGGACAGTTGGATAAATGGCTCTATATTTAGGATGTATCCGGTCTATAAATGGCAGCTCTGGATGGACAGTTGGATAAATGGTTCTATATTTAGGATGTATCCGGTCTATAAATGGCAGCTCTGGATGGACAGTTGGATAAATGGTTCTATATTTAGGATGTATCCGGTCTATAAATGGCAGCTCTGGATGGACAGTTGGATAAATGGTTCTATATTTAGGATGTATCCGGTCTATAAATGGCAGCTCTGGATGGACAGTTGGATAAATGGTTCTATATTTAGGATGTATCCGGTCTATAAATGGCAGCTCTGGATGGACAGTTGGATAAATGGTTCTATATTTAGGATGTATCCGGTCTATAAATGGCAGCTCTGGATGGACAGTTGGATAAATGGTTCTATATTTAGGATGTATCCGGTCTATAAATGGCAGCTCTGGATGGACAGTTGGATAAATGGTTCTATATTTAGGATGTATCCGGTCTATAAATGGCAGCTCTGGATGGACAGTTGGATAAATGGTTCTATATTTAGGATGTATCCGGTCTATAAATGGCAGCTCTGGATGGACAGTTGGATAAATGGTTCTATATTTAGGATGTATCCGGTCTATAAATGGCAGCTCTGGATGGACAGTTGGATAAATGGTTCTATATTTAGGATGTATCCGGTCTATAAATGGCAGCTCTGGATGGACAGTTGGATAAATGGTTCTATATTTAGGATGTATCCGGTCTATAAATGGCAGCTCTGGATGGACAGTTGGATAAATGGTTCTATATTTAGGATGTATCCGGTCTATAAATGGCAGCTCTGGATGGACAGTTGGATAAATGGTTCTATATTTAGGATGTATCCGGTCTATAAATGGCAGCTCTGGATGGACAGTTGGATAAATGGTTCTATATTTAGGATGTATCCGGTCTATAAATGGCAGCTCTGGATGGACAGTTGGATAAATGGTTCTATATTTAGGATGTATCCGGTCTATAAATGGCAGCTCTGGATGGACAGTTGGATAAATGGTTCTATATTTAGGATGTATCCGGTCTATAAATGGCAGCTCTGGATGGACAGTTGGATAAATGGTTCTATATTTAGGATGTATCCGGTCTATAAATGGCAGCTCTGGATGGACAGTTGGATAAATGGTTCTATATTTAGGATGTATCCGGTCTATAAATGGCAGCTCTGGATGGACAGTTGGATAAATGGTTCTATATTTAGGATGTATCCGGTCTATAAATGGCAGCTCTGGATGGACAGTTGGATAAATGGTTCTATATTTAGGATGTATCCGGTCTATAAATGGCGGCTCTGGATGGACAGTTGGATAAATGGCTCTGTAGTTATATTTAGTGCCTGCATTGCTCTCTGTCTAGTTCAGACTCGTTCTGTATATTGACAGAGAAGGAAAGTTGGAATCTAATGTAGTTGTTCCAGAAAGTTGTTGAGATAAAACCACATCAGCTTCCTACATGAACTCTACCTCCACCTTGGCACCGCGCCATCCTTCTCTGAGATTCCGAGTGTTTTTTGTTTTCTTTCACGGTGCCAGCTCATCGGCAAGGAGATAAAGTGCCGGCGCCCCGGTCTTCCCTCACCCACAAGCCCTGACGTGTGACAAATCCAAACATTAGTACAGCGGGGTCACCATCCCGCCCCAGCCTCCCCAGTATCTGGCCTCTCCCCGGCATCCCCTGAATAAGATCTTTCATGAGCTCGCTGGGCAGAGAGCCATAACCAAGTCATCAGGAATGAGTCACGCGGCGCCCCCGGGGCACAGTGACGCCCTGCTTTTGCCAGCACCAGGGGATGAGCGCAGTGACATGGCACGAGGATGCGGGGATTACACTGCGCCGATTGTTCCGGAGTGGAGGCAAGGTCACACTTTAAAGGGATATTTATATACTGTAGTGAATATTTCAGGATTGGAGGCCTTGTAAAGGGCAGAGCCACTTATTACATAGCGCCCGCCGTCCTAAATCATCACATGGAAGCTGTATATGAAAACTGTGGGGGGGGGGATTTAGAAAATATACCCCCACCCCCCCGTTCCCTGAAGGGACGATACACCTAGATCCTGGGAACGCCGAGTATCCCATATCACATGATAAGCTCCAGCATGGTGGATGAGCACCAGATTTGGGATCCTCTTTGTTCTCAGGATCTAACGAGAAGTATCTTTTTGGGGGGTTACTATGCAATTTATTAAAATTTACATGGAGGCTCAGCGTCACGTGTGGGTGGGCATGTAAATATGGAATGTCTAGAACCTCCCACTCCGCCAGACTGATGCCCACCCATCAAGGCATTTTGATATTTGCATAACTCCGCCCAAGAGCCCGCCCACTGCTTGCATCAGTACTGAGGGCCCTTGAGAGAAGTACTGAGGAAGGGTGCTGTGATGTTTTCAGGAAGCTATGTACAGCACACACCCCCCGGCTCCTCCCACCATCCATGATCTGCCTGCATTGCATAGAGGTGCTCAAGAACCTATTGAAGACATCCGTGGCCCTAAAATACACAATGTAATGAAAATGGGAAGGTTTTTATCGGCAGGTTGATGAAGGGGGGAGGGGAGGAGCCAGGGAACGCAGGTATAAGCAGATGAAACCTCAATATTAAGTCATGGGTGGGTTTTGTCCCTGGTACAGGTCAG